TATATGAAATATTTTTATATATCTATATTTAATTTTGGAAAAAAAATACATATATATTTAATTTTGAAAATTTTTCATCTCAAAACTCGGCATTGGGCCGGGGAGATAGCTCAGTGGAATAAGCGCTTGCATGGCAAGTGCAAGGGCCTGAGTTCAATCCCCAGTTCTGCAAAAAAAAACAACAACAACAAAAAAAAAAAAAAACCTCAGCATTAAGCTGGACGTGGTAGTGCACATCTGTAATTCTACCACTCCAGAAGGCTGAAGCAGGAGGACTGTGAGCTCAAGCCAGCCTAGGAAACTTAGTGAGGTCCTGTCTCAAAATAAAAGATAAAAAGGCGGGTAATACAGGTCAGTGTGAAGGCAGTGGCCTTAAACCACCAACCAAAAAAAATACAGCTTCAAATAGCAACTTTAATATGTTGTTGGAAAGAATGAAATACTGCATGTTAAAATTCTTTGTGAATAATATAAACCTATTTTGAAAGACTTTATTACAAAGGCATGTAAGTCATTTAAAATCAACTGTAAATTGTGAATGCCATCCTTGAATAATTGAATGTTCATGTTAACCTCCAACTTCATACTTCTTGTTTAAATATATTCCTGTTTCATTTCTAGGCAATTTGTTTTTCTAGGGAAGTTTTCTTCCATTTTTAGTCTAATAAGTGAATTCTCAGTTCTCTCTGTAAAGTCTTCTAGCATCAGTTAAACTTTTAAATGTATCCATTAACTTAGCTGCTTAAGCAAAGGTAAATGGCATCCAACAATGTTAATCTGTATAGTTTATTAAATATGCAATCACAGCTATTTAAATGACCTGGAAACTACACAGCTCACCTTGCAAGAAAGCATACTGTCTGGTCTGGGCCACCTTTCAGAAAGGGAAATTAAGCAGAATAATACTTTTGTCAGTAATCTCAAACCACTTTATAATCTGTTTTATTATGTTCATATATCTCCTTGGTAAGTCAGTGTTTGGTTTTGTTTTCAGTTTACATTTGACTTGTAATTAGTCCTTTTGCTGGCCTTTTCTATAGTAAAATGATAGTATTTTTCCATAAGCTAGAATTCTGAGTTTTTGTGTTTTTACTTTTTGTCCTGGGAATTAAACCCAGGGCTTCCTACATTCCAAGCCAATGCTGTACCACTGAGCTACAACCCCAATGTGTTTCTTAATTATCTTGAGTTGGAGTCTTTTTTTTTTTTTTTTTTTTTTCTTTTGTGGAACCGGAGATTGAACTCAGGCCCTTGCCCTTGCGCTTGCCAGGGAAGCACTTATTCCACTGAGCCATCTCCCCAGCCCTTGAGTTGAAGTCTTACTGAATTGCTCAGGTTGGCTTCAAACTCAGCATCCTTGTGCTCAGCAGGGGTCACAGGTGTGACCCTCTGTGCCCCACAGGCTGTTTTCACAAACACTGGGTTCTCTAATCATGTGTCATTAAGTAGTGTGGTAAGCAGTAGCTGGGACATGTAAAATGTGGTTAAGAGAAGACCAGACTGCGATTCCAGTTTTACTATAATTTTTTACCTTGAAACTTTTTTGTAGTCATTGTGTTCATTTTATTGAGCCAAAAAAGTAAAAAAGATAAAGCATAAGAAATTTAAATAAACTGCCAAGTATTTGTGTGAAAAATAGGTTATTATCATCCTTTTTACATACAAAAGGCTTTCGTATAGTTTTGTGCAGTTTTAATAATTATGACCTCCCTTTCTAGTTGGTCTTCAGCTTTCTCTATACACTTTATAATCTAGAATTCAACTATAAAAATGTTTCAGTAAATTACCTAAAATTGTGGCTGCAAAATACCTGCTAGCTACTTCTTATTTTTAAGGTTATAAAAATCCAAATTGCTTTTCTTGTCGTGGTATTGTTTTGATTTTTAAGTCTTTAAGAGCATGCTAAACTGCTCATTTTATCCTTAAAGTTATTTAAGTTTTTAAGAGATGGAGTTCTTAAACTACTTAAAATAGAATTAATCCTTAGGCTTCAGACATACCTCCCTACCACATAGACACATGTATAAGAGCTAAAAAATTACTAGTGTTGGAATTTTTTAAATTCCAGTATTTGAATCCAATTATTTCTATAAAACATTACTAATTATAAAAATGTTCTTTGAACTATGTTACATAGAATTGATTTATGCTTATTAATACACTGTTGCAGAACTGCAGTTAAATATCACCCTTCTGGAGAACTGTTTTTATTTTTTTGAGTGAGTACACTGTAAATCAAACTTAGAGGGGACTGGGGAGATGGCTCAGTGGAATAAGCGCTTCCCTGGCAAGCACAAGGGCCTGAGTTCAATCCCTGGTTCTGCCAAAAAAAAAAAAAAAAACAACCAAAACCTTAGAACCAAGTAGCTGCTGCTCTGTTGTCATGGCAGTCTGTGTTTCTTAATGCACACAATACTAGCCAAAGCCTGGGCATAACTCTTATGTTATGAGGCTGTTAATTACTTTTGATTATTTTTCTTTTATGTCCATTTTTAGCTTTTGAACAGAACATTTTAATAGTTTGACTTGTAACATTGAAATTTCTAAATTCATAGAACTTTGCCCAAGTTAAGTGTATTAAAATTTAAATTCATGAGGTTATTTTAGTTTTTTTTTTTTCTTTTAAAATCCTTCCACTAATTTATTTTAAAATGTCAGGACTGGTGTTAGAAATTGTGTGTCTAATTTTTTGGCTTTAATTGATCTGTTTTGTTTGTTTTTGTACCAGGAATCCAACTTAGGGCCTCATGCTTGCCAGGCAGGTACTGTGCCACTGAGCTACATCCTGGGCCCTTTGAAATTTCATTGAATGTTGATACTTAATGAACTATTTTGTCGTAACTATGTTATTATTACACTGAATTTTCCAGCAGCTTTTAATAGTTATGGCTATACAAAACACATAAGCTATTAGATTATTTGAGTTACAATGTAAGACTTGTTTACTGAACTGATTTCTTGCAATACAGGATGCAACAGAACAGCTAATCCGGAAGGCCTATTACTTAACTTATTATTGGCAATATACAGTGTGCTTTTTGATAGACCACCTAGGAACTTGTAAAATATGAAAGCAGTTATTTTTAAGGTCTCTCCCAGCTGAAATGGACTTTGAGTCTTCCCTACAGTGATAACAAATACAACTAACCATTTGTCTTAACAGCTATTATTGTCCTATTCCTCACCTCCTGACTGTTTTTTGCTTTCCCAAAGAAAAAAGGGATTTTGGTTTGATTATTTTATAACAGGTGTTTTTATTAGAGCACATAACAGTACAGGTTGTAGCTTATACTGAAACAAAAGCTAAAACTTGCATATGTTTTTCTTATGTAGAATTATAATGAAAAGACATTGTATGTTATACATGAGAAAACTTAATAACTAATGATACAAGATACCACTTACAGACATCTTTTAAATTATTATAGGTTGGTCAGGCATTGTCATAAAAAACAGAAAAGAGTGAAAAAAAAAAGAGCGAGAAAGGAGGTTAACCTTACTTAATTGAAATTTAACTGGCTTTGGACAACTTGCTTCCTTAATTGTTTAATAATTTATAAAAGCAGCTATAGATCTCTAGGAGAGAAAGACATGGCCTCACTCTGTAGACAAAAACTTTGGCCCCTGAGAATGATGTGCTGGTTGGAAATGATATCATCAATTAACTGCAGAAGGCGTCTAGAATTCAGTTTCTTGACACAGCAGAGTATACTTTATACCATGTAATGCGGTGACTCATGCAGGGTGAATTTTTCATTAGTAGATTGGTATAGTTTTCACTAAATTCCGTGCTGAATAAGAAAAATAAAAAGAATTGCTTGGTTTGAATTGCTAATGATGCTTATTCATGTGTGGGCAAACACAGGTCTACTATGGAGATGTAATTTTTTCCTTATTGAAATAGGTAATAGATAAATTCTGACAGGGATGAACTACCATTGTTCTGCATAAATTTTAGTGTATGGTTAGATTTTGTCATTTTATTTATTTTAGGCAAAAAGTCATTTTTCTATTAGTGTAGCCTATTCTATAAAAGGGAAGCTTTCTGGGAACAAATTTAGGTGAATTAGAAAATGAATAATTTGTATGAAAAACCTCAACAGGATATCATGTGGAATCTCAATTATGGCTTCTCAGCTTATGTCTGGACATGTAGCCATTCACTACTGCATTTGGGATTAATCCTAAATGCTGCGAGTGGGGATTACCCTACTGGTTGCGCCACTCTAACTATGGCACTGATATGTTTGTTTGTTTGTTTTTTGTGGAACCAGGGATTGAACTCAGGCCCTTGCACTTGCCAGGGAAGCACTTATTCCATTGAGCCATCTCCCCAGCCCCCTATGGCAATGATATGAAGAGAAAAAGAAAAGGAGTTGAGAGTAGGACGTTTACATCACTGAGCTGTTACGGACAGAAAAAAATGAATTAATTGTTGAGACATAGGTAGAGAAGTAAATTGATAGTTTGGTAATCTACTTTAGAGGTGTAAAGGTACTGACATGTGGTACCGAGGTAAGGACTGACACTGGAGGGAAAGAAAAACTTTTTATTAATAAATTTTTCTTTATTGTTTTATGCATTTATATATAAAATACCTAAATATCTGCATTAGATTTCTTTTAAGTTTGTGTCTAAGGTTGGTGTGACTCTTTTAACTTTTTAAAATCTTTTGAGCAATTTTTGATCTATAAGGCAGGGCTTTTCTATTTTTAAACTGATTTTTTTTAAGCATTTGTGCGTCAGCATAACGTCTGTTTCCTTTTTTAAGGAATTCAAGAGTGATTGTTTATAAATCCTTGCTGAGGAGCTTATTGTTTCTTGTAGCTTTTAAATGACTGTATTAAAGGGAGTATTATCACATGAACAGACATCCTGATTAACAGTGTTTTGCTGTGATGGAGGGGGGAGGGGTGTTCACATAAATAGCTTTTCAATGTAGTATTTCATAAATTATATTGACCTTGCCAAATAAAATGTCAGAGTCAATCAAAATTGAGATTGAAGAACAGGGATTGGTCACCTCACATCTCATATAGTAGATTGTGAACACTAATATAAGTATAGTCTCAGTTCATACAGTTTTGGAGAATTATGCAGCCAAATCACAAACAATGGTTTTATACTAAGGGAGACAGAGACAGTAGGCCAGGAGAAAACAGTGACCACAATTTATATTTGAAATAACCTGGACCTAGAGCAGGAACTTCGGGGTTGAGTTGGCAGATATTGTATACAGAGATTGTAATGCAGAGGAGAAAGCAGAAACTAGTGAATATGGCAGAAATCATAATGTGGGGTTGAGAGTAGGATGTGGAAGAGCCGTATGACCTGTGATGATTTTTTTTTTTTTTAATGCACGAAAAGATACTGTCGTTACTCATGTTGGAAGGGGAGCATGTTTGAGGAAGAAGTTTGTGGAATGACTTCCACAAGCAAGCGATAACACACAAAGAGAAGGAGAACACCAAGACAGGCTGTGTTTTGTGTTCTCTCTGAATATCTGTTGATGCTTATGCTTAAAGCCATAAACCTAGCCTGGCTTTTTGATTCTGTATATTTGACTTCCACCTGTCTCTGAAACATCATATGGAGTATGAATAGCTAACTCCTGCCCTACAACCAACCAGCAGTTTGTTAGTTTTTGTCTGATAAAGGAATGTAGGTATTTGGTTTTCTAATAGTTACATAACCTGTCCTTAGTGATAGCAAATTATCTTAACCTATCACATCAGTAAGATAAGAGTCTGCAGCAGTTAATGTGGCATGTGTATGGTGCCGTCACTGAGAGAGAGAAGCTAATGCATACAGAGAAGAGCTTCTGGGACACGGGCTTTTCTGTGTAAAACCTGAAATACAGGTATGTCCTCAGTATAAATTTTTTAACAATTTTCATTTCCTTAAATTAAAATAGAGTCTATATAAATTAACACAAGCCTGAGAATATTGGAAGCCTTGAAAAGACTTTTTTAAGTATTTAAACTTTTGCCAATTTTCTTAGTTTATTTTTGGCTTCTTTTTTTTTTTTTTTTTTTTTTGGCAAGAGCTCTCCCAGTCAGGCTAAAAACAAACTTGAGTCACTTTAGAAAGTACTACAACAGTGATGACTGTGGGAGTATTTACTTCACTGCCAGCTCCAGGGCTCCTCTTCAGTACACTGTGCAGGAAGGCACGGCTGCTGCCTGTAACGTCTGCAAGGAGGCTTCCCAAGAGGTCCAGTCACAATTAGACTGTTCCTTTTTCAGAGGCTTTTGCTGCTTCTAACCAAGATTAGTTGCTAAGCTAATTAGCTAAGAATATAGCTAAGCTACCTTCTGTTAATTATTTGCATACATTTCTATAGTGATTACATAACTTATGGATAAAAGCGTGTTTAGGTCTCACACCTGGGGAAACTTAGGGAATCCTTTTATCAGGAGAGGTGAGATAATATGGTAGAAGAGCGCACCAAGTAGGAACCACGTGGCCCAAGTTCTGGTTTCTGCACTCCTGTGAGGGTGGGTAAGTCTTACTTCTCTCCCCTGCCTGCACCTCACAGAAGTCATATGAAGTTAGGTGAAAGCCCTTAGAGGACGTTCTGTAACAGCCATCAGGAGCTGACATGCTCCCTCCCTGGTGTGGCACTGAGGTGTGACCTAAGTACCAGTGTTATCACCAGTTAGGAAAGTACTCAGGTGGCTTATAATGAACAGGGTTGCCTTTAAAATGATCCTTCTAAAACACATTAATTCACTTAGAGCTTACTTTTATTCTGCGAAATTTCTACTTCAAAAGTTTCTTTGTTATTGCACAACTTTTTAGCCTTGCTTTGGATGGCTTTTAAGAAGAAAGTGATCTGGATGTTGATTTTAGGTCTTTAGACTGAAATACATTTTACTTTAAAAAGTGGGAAGATGGCTAAATTTGGAACATAACTCAGGGACTCTCAGAGGTCTTTGTACTAAGGGTATGGAATCTCGCTCCTATAGTGACAGCTTAGCAGCCCTGTTATGGTCACTACTGTCACTTCCTAAACACATGCTGGTTTGAGTAGCCTCACCTTACAAATAGATTTGTAGAACAGGAAGAAGATTCTTGAAAGGGAGGACTGTGATGAAATCGATAAAAATCTCTGTTTTAAAATCTTGTACAGCCTTCTGTTTTAAAATCTTTTCTTCTGGATGAAACATTAGTCTTTAACTGAGGATCTCTGGAACTGAAGACAAACAATAAAATACCAACAGAAAGGAAATTATTAAAAGATTATATGTATTTAAATTACTTTTATCAGTAATCCATTCTAGCTTTAGAAAAGTAAAGGAAAATGGAGCAACTAAAACCAATTTTTATTATGCAAATTTTTCTTTAACTTGAAGTATTATTTTAAATTCAAGGTTATATGATATTTACATCAGTTCAGTATCTTAATGACCACATAAATACCAATAGATTAAGAATAGATTTCTACTTTATGACAAATTCATTAATTAGCTTTTTGAGTAAAAAGTTACTATATTATAAATTTTTATTTTAAGGCTAAATTTAGAGTGGTTCTTAAAAGATAAAATAAATTGAGCTTTTCACTGGGGTGCATTGACATACACCTTATAATCATAATTACTCAGGCTAGGCAGGAGAACTGAAATTCAAGGGAAGCCTGGCAATTTAATGAGACCCTGTTTTAAAATGAAATGAGGATAGGAACATAGCTCAGTGGCAGAGCAGTTGCCTAGCAAGCACAGGGCCCTGAGTTCAGAGCCAGTATCACTAAGTAAATTTTAAAAATGAAAGAAAATTTCCAAATACATTCTATCTTTGTGAAATCCTGTGCTAATGAAGGCAGTGCACTTATAAAGCTTTGCTTTGTGGTGTGTAACAAAAATAGACATTTTCTTCTCAGTGAATTTACCTTTAGAATGTATTAATCCATAATGTTAACAGGAGAGCTTTCTCAATCAAGTGGATGAACTTTCCCCTCTTTTTAAAAACAGTCTTACAATTAAATGTGGACCTTGAAGAGATGCGAGTTATACATGGGATTTTTCCCAGTGGGAGGTGGTCTTTCCCCGTGTTTATACACAAGACGATAGCCCAGTCTCCTGTGCTGCTAGCAGTCCCTGTCTCCACAACTTGGAGAATAGGATCAAAGAAAGATGAGTAGGCCAGGCCTGAGGAAGTAATCTCCTTCTGTCTCCTGTTTGACTTCATAGAACTGTAAATGAAAAGTAGACCCTTGACTAGAGGAATTGGAAACTTTTGCTCTTATGATTAAACTTTCCTTGTGATTCCTTGAAAGAAATTGTACTTGTAAATCTTAGCAGTTCTAAGTAAAACTTCTGGCAATTCAAATAATTTAGAAATAGTAATTAATTTGTTTGTTTTGTTCTGAAACAGGGTCTTGCTATGTAGTTTAGGCTAGCCTTAGACTATGTAGCCAGCGTTGGCCTCAAATTTGATTCTTCACCTGCCTCAGCCTCCCAACTGTTGGGATTACAGGCTTGTACCACTAGCCCAGCCAGAAAGAGCAGTTAATTTGCTTCTTAAGGTCCAATTTGTAGTTGGATCTAGTTAATATATGCTCCATTAACATGCTCTGAAGAAATCTAGATAACTGATTTTACGAAAGCTAGTATGAATTTCAGGAAATTAATAGGATAATGCTGCTGCATTTCGCTTTAGGGAAATAAACCCACTGGTAATGCTGTGAGATCCTGTTAGCTTTGTGCTCTGGCTTTACTTTTCTTTACATATTCCTGAAGCTAATGATGAGTTTAAGATATAGCGGTCAGTGCTGGGGAGGGTTTGCCTAGCTTTCACAGGACCCTGTATTTGATCTCCAGCACTGCAGTAAATGAACTTAAACAAAACAAAACAAAAAAACAGCTGGTCAGAATTTGCAGAGGGCAAGAAATAAAAGTTGATATAAAATTTAATATCAGTGTTTTTATATCACTGATTTAGGAAGTAATGTATTACAAAGGCCCGAGCATTCTACATGTTAAAACAATTGGAGATTTTTAAAATTGACTACTTGATCTCTTTTAAAAATGTAAAGAATAGTTTTAATCATTCTGAATAAAAAATGTTAATGATAAAATATTCTTCCTTTTCTTCTCAGATCCCAATTTTGTTCGGACATTTCTTACAACGTATAGATCATTTTGCAAACCTCAAGAACTACTGAGTCTTATAATAGAAAGGTCTGTCAATTTTTTGCTTGAATTGTTTTGTTTTGTTTTGTTTTTAAAGAAACTGAGTGAAGAGCCCATACATTTCTCAAAAATGTTTTGGATGAGCATATGAATCCTTTTTAAAGTTCTAAAAATCATATACTTTCCAAAAGCATGTAGTTTTAATTATTTAAATACAAAATAAGTATTCTTTATTCTACACTTAGAAACTTAGGGTCCAAAATTTAAAATGTATAGACTTGATCAGGTTAAAGAATTATATAGAGATGTATATACTTTGCAATTTAAATTTTTGATGATTTAGATATTCTTAAAAGTTTTCAAATAGCCCATGCACTGAGCAGAATGGAGCTTGTCAGCAAGCAGGTACTGCTGTCATGAAGAGTGTTTTTTCCACCAGACAAACATCGATCAACTTGTTAAGCACTGGCTGCCCTTAGCAGTTACATGAGCTGATTGAGAGTAATTCTACAAACCCCAAAATGAGCATCAGTCCCATAACACTGTGGTCATACTTATTTTTAGGTTTTACATGTCTTATTATAGTTATTTTTTACCTGTATTGGCGAGTTTTAATGTCTTTTTAAAAATATTATCATTAGCCTTTACATTATAGAGGCCTCACTGATTTTTTACTAATATAAAACGTTCAGTAATTTTTACAGTATTTTCTTTTTTATTTTTACAGTATTTTCTTGATTTTGTTAAGCTAGTGAACAGATTGGTGTATTTCTATTTGTATAATTTGATAGAATTAATATTTTCATAAGGTTTTTTTGTTTTATGTTAGGTTTGAAATTCCAGAGCCTGAGCCAACAGAAGCTGATCGCATAGCTATAGAGAATGGAGACCAACCTTTGAGTGCAGAACTGAAGCGATTTAGAAAAGAATATATACAGCCTGTACAACTGCGGTAAGCATTCAGTGACTACTGAAGTAAGCAGGTCTCTAGCAAAGTTTGTTTACAAAGTTGAAGTACATAAGGAGCTTTCCTAAGCAAGAAGGAGTAACAGATAAAATGAGAATCAAGTAAGAGCAATTATCAGAAATGATGATATGAATATTCATTAACATAGAATTTGGAAGTGTTAGCCACGGATAAGATGATTTTATTTGGTAGGAATTACTGTACTATTTTCATTTGTACCAGTCACTGTGATAAACATTTGATGTTTGAATTCCCTTGTAATTCAATTCTGTGTTAATGCCATAGAGTATTAAATGTATGTCGGCACTGGGTAGAACACCACTTTTATGATTTTGAAAGAGATGCAGATCTTTTGCAACGAATGGAGGAATTTATTGGAACAGTAAGAGGTAACGGTTTTTTTCTAAATGCCTATTTTATACATAATAAAAGTGCCAATATACTGATTGTTGATTGATATCATTATTGTTCAGTGTTGTTAAGATATGTGTACAATAATGACAGCATAACAAATTTTAAAAGTTAAAATTTTAGACTCAAAAATTACTCTGGGTGGTGCGTGACATGCATGTACCAGCTCCCCACGAGGAATGTACTGTGATGCACTGCAAACGTGGACTAATAAAAACTTAAAAAGAAAAAAAGAAATTACTCTGGGATTTCATAGTTATTCTCATTTAGTGAATTAATTCAGTGATCATTTCAGAATTCTTTAGAGAAACCTCAATTTAAGCTAAGTCACTTATCTGAAAGTATATGTAGAGGAGTGCCATCAGCAGCTGTTGTGCTTTTATAAATCTCCAAAGTTTCCCTTCTAGATTAAAAAATGCTGGTTGGGAGGGGCATTGTGTGCCTGTAACCCCAGCATTTGCTGTAATCCTAGCACTAGGGAGGCTGAGGCAGGAGGAACGCTGAGTTTGAGGCCAGCCTAGACTATGCAGTAAGTTCAAGGCCAGCCTGAGTGACAGAGCAAGACCCTATCTCCAAGAAACAAACAGAAAAATGGTTCCAAAGATAGCCTAGACAAATGTGCTTTTATGTCCACTGTATATGCTAAATAAGAAACAGAGAATAGAGAGGTAAATATCGTGCTTTACAGCATACAACAGCCGTAGCACACCTCCTACTGAAATGAGCAGCGGTCCTGATGCTGACTGGTTTATAAAATGCAGTGTTAATTATGTTAACGCTGAATCTGTATTACCTGTCTTTTATCAGGCTTGCAATTTGTGTGGACTACAGCTTGGGGGAGGATTTTTTAAATTACATTTTGAACTAAAGTTAGAATAATTTAGACTAAAAATCTCTGTAAATTATTTTTTAATTTTACTGAGGACCTGGAAAAATACATATCAAACTGTTCACAGTGTTACCCATGTAAAGAAGAATCAGACTGAAGTAGGGATTGGGAAGTGGAAATGGAATCTTGCAGCTTCTATTTTGATCATTTGAGCTTTTTATAGCAAGAATATAGCCAGTTTTTACTTGTGTGATTTTAAAACATAAAAATTAAGGAGTATTTGAATTTTATTTTAAAATACAATGTATTTCAGGTAAAGCAATGAAAAAATGGGTTGAATCCATTACTAAGATAATCCAAAGGAAAAAAATGGCAAGAGACAATGGACCAGGCCATAATATTACATTTCAGAGTTCACCTCCCACAGTTGAGTGGCATATAAGCAGACCTGGACACACAGAGACTTTTGACCTGCTCACTTTACACCCAATAGAAATTGCTCGACAACTTACTTTACTTGAATCAGATCTGTACCGGTATGTAATCTGACATGCAAGCTGAAAGTTATTTCAAAAAGAGTTCTTTTTAAAATTGTTCTCATTTCTGATGTTCAGGATGGCCATAAAATGTAAATAACATAGTCCACAAGATATTCAGTAGTACTGAGAGTGGCAGGGAGTTCTGGCTCTTTTACTGCCTTTGGTTTCCCTTGTTGTTTGAATTTATACCTTCTCTCTTTCTACAGTCACCCCTGGTTAGGGAAGCCGAGTTCAGATCCTGACTGCAAATTGCTGGCTCGGTATTTTTGGGCACTTTTAACCCTCTCATGTAACTTTTATCTTTCTACTTCTTAATTTCAAGAATAAAATTATGCCAAAGACAGTATCTACTTCTGGGGTATTTGTGGTGCTTAAAATAGTCCTATGTACAGCAACACATTGCCTAGCACAAGCTTTTAGGCTCAGTGATTCTTAGCTATTGCTGTGATAAGCTTGAGTCCTGACTTGTGCATTAGAGCCCCTTTCCTTTATTATTGTATACTGATATAACTGCTCAGAAAGTGTCTGTATCTGGTTTTGAATTCTGTTTATCTCCAACTTACTTACTTTTAATAATTAAATGAAAAAGGAACTGAATTTATAGATCTCCCATCAAAGATCATTATATTCCCAAAATTATAATGTTAGGAATCTACTTGATTTCCAGGACTCACTCTTCTTGAGTAGTTTCTTTTTCCTCTGCTCCTTTAGATAAGGGGGGGTGGCTTAAGAATTTTAGTGATTAAATAAAAAAGAATTTTTGTCATTTATCTCTTTGGACTGATTATTAGATATCACTATTTAAATACTATTCTGTTATCGTGACTTATTAAATAATATTTATAAGTGCTAGAAAAGATATTCTGCAGAAATTTCAACCTTGCCTAAAGCAGCATGCTACTGTAAAGCAACAGTGAATGCACACAAGTACATTCATGAATATACATTATTAAATCTGTAGAGAAAACACATAATTATAATTTTGTTATACCTTGTTTTATAAATTTTTTTTAGTGAGAAAGGAAAGTTTAATTCTAGGAGTTTTTATCTCATTTACTTGATAGAGGGAACAGTCTGTAATCTTCTGTGTTGACTTTAGAGCGGTGCAGCCATCAGAGTTGGTTGGAAGCGTGTGGACAAAAGAAGACAAAGAAATTAATTCGCCCAATCTTCTGAAAATGATTCGCCACACCACTAATCTCACTCTGTGGTTTGAGAAGTGAGTAATCTTAACTTTTAGCAGTCAGCTGTGTTTGAATTTCTGCAGTTTTATTTCAATGTGTCACATGTCTTTTCCTCTTTTTGAGTATTTTTCTAATTTAGCATTTTAATTTCACTAATTACATTTTTTCATTATATTTATTGGGGGATGTTTTTTAGGTGCTACCTAAAGGTTTACATTTTAAGTTACTGGAATCAACTTCAGGTTGTAGTTTCCTTCCAGTTTACATAGAAATGTTACTCCTGTACAGCTCTTCGGCTTTTCTCTCCTTTCTGTGATACTGTAATACACATTATATCTAATTAGTGATGTATATGCAAAAGTACACTGTTGTAATTCATAACTTGGTGTTTTCTGTCATTGTCTAAACCCATTACTGCTTTACTTTCATCTATTTCCATTGTGCTATTCCTGGCTATGGGTTATACACATATTTCTATGTTATAGGCCCAACAGTATATTCATGTACATTATTTTAAGTAGCTGTTTTTCAAATCAGGCAAAAAGGGGAAAAATGCATTTATTGTGACTTTTATAGTTATTTTTACTGGTGTTCTTTGTGTGGATTCAAATTACCATCTGGGATCCCTTGCTTTCACCCTGGCATCAATGTTTCTTGTGAAGTGTCAGCTAACAAAGAATTCTCTCAGTTTTTGTCCGTCTGGGAAATCCTTAGTTTCCCTCCTCTTTTTTTTTGGCAGAACTGGCAATTGAACTTCCCTGCCAGGCAAGCGCTTATTCTACTGCGCTATCTATCTGTGCTATTCTATTTTAAAGATACATTTTTTCCTTCAAAAAATGAAGGGAAGGGGTTGGGCTGGGCTTACGCTCACTTCATACCTCCCAGGCTGGTCTCGAACTCTTAGGAGGCTTCTGTGTCAGCCTCCTATTGCTGGGATTACAGGTGTGCACCACTCTGCCCGGCTCTTAACTACTTTCTTGTTGGTCACTTATATTCTACTGTTGACCCCATACACTTTTTCATTTCAGTTACTATACTTTTCAGTTTCACAATTTCCATTCGCTTCCTTAAAAAAAAAAAAAAAAAAATGATTTCTACCTCTGGTGATATCATTTCTGCCTCTTGATGAACCTTGTCATTGTCCTTCTGTATCATGCTGTCCTTCAGCTCTGTAAACATATCCTTAATGGCTACTTTGAAATCTGTTAAATCTGACATCTGGCTGCTTTCATAGGCAATTTCTGTCCCATGCTCTTTAAGTGTATAGATTATACTTTGATGCTTCTTTGTGTGCTTTATAATTTTTTGTTGGAAACTTGATTTAATTTTTGCACCTCTAAGTACTGCTCTCTCCCTTAGGGCTGTTACTGCTACCTGTTTGTTTGTTTGTTTGTTTGTTTGATCAGTGACTACCTGGATTAAGGTACTGAAGCCTATCTGTGTCAGTCAGTCTCTCTCACACACATACACACACACACACACACACACACACACACACACACACAGAGGAGGTGGAGAGTGAGTGAGTTTAGGCTCATCTTCCATCAGCTGCCTTTCACCACTACCTCTTACTCTACTGTTCTTGAGAGAACTTCAGGTTTAAACTTTCCAAATTTAGTCAAAAATGACAAGATATTAGGATATTTGTCTTTGAAACAGGGCTTAGAGACAGAGGATGAGGACAAGCTTCCTGCTTGGAGCTTGGTGCTAGACCAGTGCCTCTGAAGATGTAACAGAAGGGGAACAGAAGGTAGTACTGTACCCTCAGGTTCTCTTATCTGCTTCTTTTAACATGGAACCACTGTCCTCAGGAACCTGACAAAGGACTGTTTTCTCAGGGTTTCAGCACCCCACAGCCAAGGTGGAGAGTTGGGTAAAAGAAAATACCCACTTCTCACCTGCACTCCCCAGGACTTAGCTTCAGCAACAGGCAGCTGAAGGCCAGATGAGAGATGCTGAAGCCCTGCTCCTCCAGGGAGGAGAGCTACATATTCTTGACTACAGCAGTCTGGAGTGAATGTTCAAAAAAAAAAAAGGAGGGAGCAATCTTAGTTAAAATATAGCAGACTCACCTTTCCAAATTTTTATAGCCATTTCATGAATATTTGTTCTTTTGCCATTTTCTCTTAGGTCCATTTCCATAGACTTTTAAGTGTTTTGAGTTTGGGGATTTTTTTTTTCTTTTGTTGTAACAATTTCTCCAGTTTTACTAGAGTAGCTTAGAGGAGCTCTTTATTTATTATGCCAGAAGTCCAGGCTTTAATTCAATTTCATAAATTGGGGGCCAGAGATTAAGCTTTGTATATGGGATATATACAAAGTTTTGAGGTTTTGTTTTTGTTTTTGTTTTTTTTCTTTGAGGAACTACGGATTGAACTCAGGCCCTTGCTCTTGCCACGCAAGTGCTCATTCTGCTGAGCGATCTCCCCAGCCCCTTTTTTGTTTGTTTGTTTTGGGGCGCTATATTTTTTTCTGAGTAAAATCATTATTATTATTTTAGTATTTTATGAACTTGATAAGAGATTTCCACTGATCACTTTGGGATTATCAGAATGAGTAACGAGTGACATAGGAAAAAAATGGATAAAGACCTGGAAGCAGTTCCAAAAAAATAAGAAAGCATTCCAGGTCACCTGTAAGTTAGGATTTCCTTTGTATTTGTGTCATTAAATCCAACAGACCTCTAAAAAGTTAAGACTGTAGAACTTGCCCCCTCAGTGTTGCTTTATTACCAAGTTAAATAACTACCCTTCAGTATACAGAAGCCTTTTCCCATTATCTGACATAATTAAAGCATGTCAGATCTCAGGAGATGAACATAACTGATCAGCGATACAAACCACTTTCATTTCTGTCCTATTTTTTAAATAGATTAATTAGCTGAAGGCCACTTCTTGGCCTTTTCAACATGAGAGACTGTTATTTGCCATAGTAGTTCTCAGTCATGGATATATATCAATATTGTAATCAAATATTCCACAGGCAATCTTAGTTTCTAACCACTGAAATTGTTAAGTAAAAAATGTGAATAATATGTTATATTTTAATTATCCAGATAAGTAGTTAGCCAGAATGATATAGAGATCTAGTTAATGCTTTAAACATGTAAAAATGTTACATTTAGTGTAATAATAAACTAATTTTACTTTGATAGCTTCACATAGAATTTTCTCAGTGTTAGGTCTGCCTCATCAGGGAATAACGTAACCTGCAGTTTCCCCTCAGTACTAAGGGACTGAACCCAGAGCCTAGATAGATGTGCTGGGCAAGGGCTCTGCCATTGAGCCTAGTCCCTTGTCCTTTTTTAAAACTTTATTTTGAGACAGGGTCTCCCAAGCTGGCCTTGAACTTGTGATCTTCCTGCTTCAGCCTCCCAAATAACTAGGATTACAAATGTATGTCATTGTACCTGGTTACAACTTAACATTTTAAAAAATGTTTAACATTAACTATAGATTCAAGTTTCTTAGATTATAAAGTATTAATATTATATTGCTGAAAACTAGTAAGATACAGTGGAGTACACCTGTAATCCCAACCCTCGAGGCTGAGGCAGAAGGATCAGTGTGAGCTGGAAGTCAGTCTTGGCTACACAGTGGACTTCATGGCCAGCTTGGACTACATAGCAAGACCTTGTCTCCAAATTGGTTTTTTAAATTTTTTTTTTATTTTTTAAAATTTTAAGTATATTATTTAAAACTAAGTTTATAATAATTTCCTTTATTTTGAAGTCATTAATAAATTTAAAATTCTCTTGTACTATAGACACTACTAAGTAATTTTCTTTTGAAATGGCATACTGCTTTTTAGCTCTTTGCTGGATTACATATATATTATTACAGAGGTATTACACAGAAGACACTATTGATACTAATATATAATAGAATATGTATAATATTTTGTTATAGAGGTATACTATCCGGATTCTTAATATTTAAATGTAAAGTGCTTTCGCTTTTATTGCTTTTCATTCAATTTTCCTAGGTAGCATTTATTTTCAGTTGTAATATAATTGACTTTGATGTAACGGCACTTGTGTGAAGAGCTGTTCACAGAATTGTAACTACTAATTTCTGTATATCAAAGAATGAAACTAACTTTCATCACTAAAATCATAGAATTAAATGGAGAATAGGAGGCAACAGAATTCTTGAATTTTAGACTCAGTTCCATCATTTTAAATGATGAAAATGTACATCATTGACCAGGATACTAGTTTCATCACTCGATTGTACCAAATAGTAGTTGAGGAAGGTGGTGGATGTGTCATCTCAAGAGCACCGTGCCTGCCTTTGAGGGCTGCCTGCCTTCTAGGCTCTGTCCCTCTGTCATTCTCAGTATGTCTTCTTAGAGTTGCACGGTAGCCCCTTGTCCTCCCTGCCCCAATTATTGAGTTTACTAAATTTTTTAAACCATAGCTTTATTGGGAAAAAATCAGAATTTTTAATTCTTTTGGCTCTGGTTCCTAGGTGTATTGTAGAAACTGAAAACCTAGAAGAAAGAGTAGCTGTGGTGAGTCGGATAATTGAGATTCTACAAGTCTTTCAAGAGCTGAACAACTTCAACGGTGTTCTGGAGGTTGTCAGCGCGATGAACTCATCACCTGTGTACAGACTAGACCACACGTTTGAGGTAGGGCTGCACAAGTTCGTTTGTTTTTAAATGAACTTTCATTGCAATTATGACTATGAGGACTTTAACAGTTGTGATCTCTGGTTTTTAAGTGCCCCGTCTGTCTTTTTGGTAGCAAGTTAAGAGATTGAATTATCTAAGCTCTGTTCTTTTTAAAATTAGGCATCCTTGAGATTGGGAAGTCTAACTCAAAAGAAAAAAAAATTAAAAAAGAGCATGCTCATTAAAGTGCTCTCATGGATCCCATCTCTGTAAAAGAAATAGAAAAAAGCCAGAAAAAACATTTGGCACTTAGCTTGTAATATAATTTAATTTAGAATTACAAATGCCCACATAATTATGTGAGGAACTTCAAGATAATCTATGTCACACTCACTTAGGATTGGACTAGAGTCTACGCAGATGGTTTCTACGACACATTACATGCTTGGAGTTAGACTGCTCTTGCTGTATGCGGGCCCTCTGTTAACCTGGCAGGTTCTGGCAAGACCTGTGGGGCCCCCAGCTCACCATACTGGGGATAGCCCCCAGCGAAAGTTATTTTTAATTTTGTGACAGGGTCTTACTAAGTTGCCTGGGCTGGCCTCAAAACTTGTAATCCTCCTATGTCACTCTTCCTGAGTAGTACAGTGTGCCACTGCATCTACCCTGTGATTCTTTTTATAAATTTAAGTCTCCTAAAACTGTTGTTTTGGGTTTTTTTTTTCTTTTTCTTATAGCAAATACCCAGTCGCCAAAAGAAAATTTTAGAGGAAGCTCATGAATTGAGTGAAGACCATTATAAGAAATATCTGGCAAAACTCAGGTCTATTAATCCACCATGTGTGCCTTTTTTTGGTAGGTATTTCTTCCTGAATTTTTATTGTATTTGTGAATAAAACAAGACATGTTTTGATCAAATGACAGAGTACCAACACATATAATATAGCAGCACATAACACTTAAATAGCACCTTTTTTCCTGTATTTTAGGACAGGCTCTACAGGGTCTCACTACACAGATCAGACTCTTAGTGATTCTCTTGTTTTCAGCCTCCCAAGCGCTGGAATTACAGGTGCACCCCTCCACGCCCAGTCTCAATCACTGTCTCAGCATACCCCTCAGGTGGGGTCTGCATGGCATGCCGGGGATCAAACCCTGGCTGCTGCACTCTACCTCAGCAGGGGCGTTAGTCCACGGAGCTATCAGGCTAGCCCTTAAATAACACCTTAATCACTTTAGAATCTTTCCTTGTTAGGACTTCAAGCAAACCTAGTAGAGACTGAGCTTCCCTAATCTGGAAGTCAAAATATTTCAAAATCTAAACCTTTTGAGATGACACCACAAGTGGAAAGTCACACATCTGACCATTGCAGGAGTCAGTCAACATACAGGCACACTACAGATAATGTATAAAATTACCTTCAGCGTACATATTTAAGGCATATATGAAATATAAATGAGTTTCATGTTTACATCTTGGCTCTATACCCAAGATGTCTCATATGTAAATATTCCAAACCCTCAAAGTCCAAAATACTTCTGATTCCAAGCATTAAAGATAAGCAATTCTCAGCCTGTACTTATATTTCACTTTCTATATTTATTTTGAGTAGCCATTAGATATTATATAGTACTTAGTATTTTATATTCATAGAAGTACTCCTAATTGAATTTGAATAAACCAAATATTCTAACAAAGAGGTATGACCAAACTCATTTATAATTAATTTTTTTAAAAACTTGCACATAACTAAAAATCACAGTGTATGTTTTACAACTCATACTTTTAGCACAACAAAAATATTACTTGTCCTTTTCCCCTTATTTTGGCTCGAAAGAAGGATGTGCCTTTTCTTCTTTTTAAGAGTGAGTCTCCCCAGTCTGAATTTAGTCCCTTTCTGTAGATGTGTCCATCCTCCTGTCATTTGTTCCCTGTTTTGTTTTGTTTTGTTTTTGCAGTACTGGGGATCAAGCTTGGAGGCTTGCACTTGCCAGGCAGGCACGCATGCCATTGAGCTGTCTCCCTGGCCCCGCTCCCTGCATTCCACATCTCCAGCACTGTATCTTTCACAGTGACTTCTCTGCCTCTGTGGTTCTGCCTTGGAATGCTCACAGAAACTGTGCTATTATACCTCTCGTATTTAATCTTTTTAGTATGTGCCAAATTGTCTCTTAGCCTTTTCTTCATTTATATATACTTTTTCTATTTAGTTTTATTATACCATATATAACATATATCCTGATATTTTCCCATGTTTTATTGGTTAGACGTCATAAACCACTTTCATTTTTACTTGTAATCTTTTTGCTGTACACATATAAAAGCGTGTCACTTTTTATTATTAATTTCTATTTTCCTGAGGAATGCCCCTCCCCTCAAATTCTTGATAAAAATACTAAGTTTCCTTGTTTTATCTTTCTGGTAAAAAAGCCTAAATATTTACTTTTAAATATGGTAAGTACGAAGTTCTTTGTGTAAGGAAGCAGGGAAGGATTTGAGTGGGTCTGATGTTCATTTCATCCAATATATTGACAGGTATTTCCTGAGTGCTTACTGGGAACTCTGTTTGATACTTAGAAAAGTGGAAAATACATAGTTACTATTCTCATGTAACTTCCATTGGTATCACTCATGATATCCTCTGGTCTCCAGTGCACAGAGATCAAAAGAAAACTCAAGGCCCAGTCATAGGACTCACATTTGGTCCCTTTTACTCCCCCATACATCCTCTAAAATGGCCATCTAAGGCTCTGTGGTAGAGTGCTTGGATAGCACATGTGAGACTCCATTTTTAATCTCAAACACCACAAAAAAATATAGTCTCTAAAATATAAACATAACTGGATCTTTTTTTTTTTCAAATTCTTTTTTTTTTTTAATTTTTTATTTATTTATTTATTTATATGTGTGTGGCCAGCTCAGCCCACCAGGGGGCGGGGCTGTCTGGCATGTGGTGCTGGGGGATCGAACCGCAGTCCCTGTGTTCCGCTTAGCCTAGCCTGTTCCAAGTAGGTGCTTTAGACCACTGAGCCATCTCACCAGCCCCTGGATCTTGATGGTATGGTTAAGTGAAAAAAATTTTTTAGACTTCTATTTAGAGTCTCATTCCCAAATGGGTTTTGTGTTGTACTATGTGACTTAGCGAGTGAATATTGACCTGTAGGTAGGTTGATGGGCACACAGCCCACTTGCCAGACTTACGCTTTTTTGGCTGATCTTTCTGATTACTAAAGTTCTACCATTTTAAGCTAGTTTTCCTGAAATGAGCCCTGTCAGGCCTGCTAGTCTAGGAAGATTGTTACTGTTCTCAACTTAAAGGTTGCTGAAATTAATTAGTTGTCTTTTATGTTTCTAATAGAGCCAGATGTTTTTGCTGCTTATTAATTCCATTTTGCCTATGTTGTAATTTATAGAAACTCTTTCAAAACTTTTCTAATATCTAGGTACTTGTTTTCTCCCTATATGAGAATAGATAGGTTTAAGAGTTTACACTTTTACTTCCTGTGTCATCTCAACAGAATTCTTGTTTTTACACTGGGTGTGCCACCATTTATAGGGAGGAAAAAAGGAAGTATCTCCTTACAGAGCTCTGCCAGACTGGCCTGTGCGAGTGGGCAGAGTAAATTTCCTCAAAGGAAAAGGTGGCGGGCGCCTCAGCCAGATGTCTCCTCTGCGCGCCAACACCCCCACCGAGGCTTCGGCCTTGCTCTTTCCTGTTACGCGGCTCTGATCTCGTGTCCTCCTGCTCTTGTATGTTTGCTCATGCCTTCTTGCCACTTTAGAACAACTCTGCACTTGTTGAATGACTAAGAATAGACAAACAAGTGACAGTCCCAGAGTTTCTATTCTCTTGAAAGAACAAAAAATAAATAAAATGTACAGAAGAGAGAAGAGGACAGGACAGGGTAAGACAGGACAGGAGAGGACTCGTTTCTTCTCTCCATTATTTGTATCATACTGCTTGGTTTTCCGTCTCCCACAAATAGCTCTACAGTAAAGTATGTGAACACTCTTCTTAGATATGAAAATCATCTAGTGAAATACAGGAACAACTAGATATCCTACTTGTATTTTTTTTTAAAGATTAGGAAACAAGCTTTACTAGTATACACTATTCAGGTCTATTCAGGTCTGTTTTTTATATGTACCTGTAGGTTCTACATAATTGTGTGTGTGTGCACGAAACATTCTTTACTGTGTATAGTGTATGTTTACAAAGTCTATACACCACTGCTGTGATCATTTGTTCTTCTAATTAGCTATCATTTAGGCATAAAATAACATAAATTTTATCTTGAATTCCCCCAAGATGCTACATGTAAGCATTTTCACAACTTTAGTCAAATGTACTTCTAACAGCTATAAATCCATAAATTATTATGCTATGTGTTCCCAGCACTGGCCATGACCGCCTCACCAGTTCAGTCACTCAGGCGAGAAGCTGTCCTGCTGCCCCACTCCCATCCAAGTCAGTAATTAGCTGTGGGGTTGCGTGGGGGCTTCCACCTTTCAAAGATGCACTCCCCCAGCTTCCCCATGTACTCCAGGCCAGTCCCTATCTCCTTCAGATTGTCAGCCTGCTCACTGCTCTTGTCTGGCTTTTATAAAGCTAGAGTCATTCTAGAATCCAAAAATGGTTTTAACTTTTTCTTTTTGTACTCAGTAAAAATTAAGCTTTTAACAAAAATATAACCGAATTCAGGTGCTTCTATCCACAAGTGGGCCATTAGTTCATGACTAATGTGGAAAGGGGATTTGGGCTGCTACTCTGTATGCACCCTTAGGGACCTGTGCTCAAACTAAATGTTGAACTAAATGATGGATCTTGCAGATCGCATAGAGGAATAACTGGCTGAAAGTAATATCTGGCCATGGCTTATTAGAACACAGTAACTTTTTCTTATAAATATATCCTAAAGAGTGGTCTAGATGCTGAGAAACAGACAGAAAGCATGCAATAAGTGCATGCTTTTTAAAATCAAATAGGTCCCTGGCAAGCGCAAGGGCCTGAGTTCAATCCCCGGTTCCGGAAAAAAAAAAAAAAATCAAATAGGCGTTAGTGTCAGTCATACTTCATTATTGCTTACTTATTCAGTATTGAGTTTTTAATCTTTTCAAGAATGTGACCAAAAACTCTTAGTATTTAGAAGTATACCTCTACCAGAGCATTTAGAACTACTGATCCAGCCCTTGCCTGTGTCTGTCCATGTATCCTGCTACGCTGTCCACTTCACACTCTGAGCCTGTTTGTGGTCTGGCCATACAAACAGCACGCGCTCTCTGAAGTGTCCCTCCCAAGCTGAATCGCAAATCAGTGTAATGTTGCTGCCGCATTACCTGGAGGAGTGCCCCTCCGTCTCACTCTCTTCAGACCCTGCTCATTTGAGACTCACCCTAGGTATCACCTCACTATAGTGCTGCTTCCGAGCCCATCGGTGTGAGGTGGTGGCAAGGCATACCTCAGTTGTGCTCCCATAGCATCTTACGGACTGCTACTAATAGAGCGTCTCCTTGGGTAGCACTAGTAAATTGTACCATAGAGGGTCTACACTCTTGAGGTCAGGGATTGTGTGTGTTGTCGACCTTGGTATCTGCAGCACTTAATGTAGTACTTGTAGGAATGAATGAACTCTAATATCCACACCTCCATTTTTTCCTTAAAACAGCACTGGCTGCCTGGGAATGGAAAGACAGATCCCTAAGAGAACAGGGTAACATAGTAACAGCACCAACAGTTGCTATTTAATTGCCAAGCCCTATTCTAGGCCTCTACAAAAACTCCTTCATTTCTCACAGCAAGTATCCTACCTTTATTTTACAGATGAGATAACTGAGGCACAGAGAGGCTAAGTAGTTTGCACAAGATCACACAAGTGGAAGACCAGAGCTGGCTCCAGAGCCTTGGTACAGCAAGGAGACCAAAGTGCTCCTGGCAACATAGTGCCAGATAAGGAGTTAAAGTGCCTGTTACTCTGTTTGCTGTCCTCATCCCATGCATAGCTTACAGTGGGGGAAAAACAGAAGCGCAGTTACCAGAAAAAGTAGACGTACCGAAGACCAGAATACAGAATACAGTATATATAAATTATATGCAGTTCTGTGTTTGATAGGTTAGCAAATCCTTCCATATTCCCACAAATAATCCTATCTAGAAAAGATGACATCTGTATTGCAACTCCTAATGACCTCTTGTGGAACCTCAAGAATTAAGTACATAGAAAATGTAATCCTTAGCACTCTTTCCCTTTTGGAAAATAAAGGGGGGGGGGTCATTAACACTAGAGTTTAAGTTCCTTTAACCAAAGTATGACTGAAATAACAGTAACTTAGAAGGAGGAGAGGGTATGGAAAAGTAGTTGTTGTTCTTCTTGATTAAACTTGTGCTCTCCCTTTTTGTTGGATATTTATAAAATCTAAGTCTTCCATGGAAGGATTTGATGCTTACAAAAATCTCTGTTTTGATATTTACTGAACTTGTAAGTTGGCATACCATGGAAATGTGAGTCTTGATTCTTCGGCTATGATGACTGAATGCAGTGTTTATGCTCAAGATTAATGAGGGAAAGTTTTTTCCTTTTTTTCTTTCTTTAAAATAATTTCATTTTATCTTCTAGGAATTTATCTGACTAATATCTTGAAAACAGAAGAAGGCAATCCTGAGGTCTTAAAAAGACATGGAAAAGAGCTAATAAACTTTAGCAAGAGGAGAAAAGTAGCAGAAATAACAGGAGAGATCCAGCAGTACCAAAATCAGCCTTACTGTTTACGAGTAGAATCAGATATCAAAGTAAGTAGAATTATCGGAAAATACATATTTCTAGTTAAATTCATAAAGTGTTTGACAAAAGCCAAATTTGTTTTGTAGAAGAGGAAAATAAAACTGAAAATAACAAATTCTAATTTTCTTAAAAGTTTTCATAAATAATTTTCAAGAAGTTCAGATTTAATTCAAAATATTCCCCAGGCATGGTGGCACACACCTGTAATCCCAGCTCTTAAGAGGCAGAGGCAGGAAAATTTCCACAAGTTTGAGGTCAGCTTGGACTACATAGTAAAATCAAGGCCAGCCTGCACTATACAGCAAGACCTTGTCTCAAAAATAAATAAAATAAAATATTTACGACTAATAATTATTTCTTTGCATTTATTTTAGAGATTCTTTGAAAACTTGAATCCAATGGGAAATAGCATGGAGAAAGAATTTACAGATTATCTTTTCAACAAATCCCTAGAAATAGAACCACGAAACCCTAAGCCTCTCCCAAGATTTGTAAGCATTCATAAATTTAATTTCTTTTACATTTATATACTTTTTGTACTTGTCATGTACATCTGTTGTTGTCGCTACTATATATTATATATTCATTATTTACAAATGCATTCAGGGATGAAATGCACATAAGATAATTAAAAGAAATCAAAGTGTGCTTAATAAATATATCCAAAAATATTTCGCTTGGTTCTAAATACATGAATACTAAGTTGAATTAATCCTGATATAAGTGTGAAACTGAACAAATCTGTAAGTTATTTTTGGTTTTAGCAAAAAAGTTCAAGATTTATTGTAAAAATTAAATTTCTTTTTTTTTTCCTTTCCTTTTTTTCCCCAGTACCAGGGATTAAACTCAGAATCTTGTGCTTGCCAGGCAGGTGCTTATTCTACTAAGCTGTCATCCCGGCCCTAAAATAAAATTTCTTGAATTTATACTAATTCACTCCTATTTACTTCAAACTGTTTAAGGAAATGATTTATTAGAATTTTTAACCATGAATCATTAGCCATACCAATATCAGATTTGGCTAAAAATTCTTTTGAAAAACAGGCCATTGAGTGGTATTACTGGTCAGTGCCTGGCCCGGTGTATCTTACAGTATCAGCACCTCACAGACCTGAGTAGGTTCTCTCTTTGATAAAGTGCGAGGAAGTAAACACAAATGGCTTCTAAGCGATCAAGGTAAATCTCACACTGTCTGTGAATTAAAGCAGATGGAGCTTGCCTCAGGCAAATTTTTTAGGCCTTAAAACAATTTTTAATATAATGAATAAAAATGTCACATTAGGAATACATATCTAGTCTGATCCAATGAAGCATACTTATATCACTAAGAAATTATATTCTCAAAAAAATAAAGAAATTATATTCTCCAGGAAAATAACCATAAAATTAACATACAGATTGAAAACTCAGGCAATTTGATGTATTTGTAAAGTAGCTCCAAAAGTCTTAATGATATCAGTGTATTATAACATAGATACTTATAATTCATGATGATTATCCTGAATTTTTAATAGGTTAAATCTGTCCCAAAAGCCAGGGAAATATACAATATGTTTTAGAAAGATCTCCACTGAAAGACATTAAAATAACAAGGACTATAATATTTATGGGGTAAAACTCAGTTAATTTAAAGAACTTTATTTTCTAACAATTTAAATAGCCAAAATTTCAACAAAATAAAATAGTAATAGTTTAACTTGGACACTGATCTGAATCATGTTACTTTCTGATTGGTAATTTATGGTTTTCCAAGATTTTTTTTGCATTTTATTCACACACAGAGAAAAATCATTCTTTCATATTGTGGTGTTCTAAGTATTTTGTCTCTTACATCAACAGCCAAAAAAGTATAGCTATCCCCTAAAGTCTCCTGGTGTTCGTCCATCAAACCCAAGGCCAGGTACCATGAGGCATCCCACACCTCTGCAGCAGGAGCCACGGAAAATCAGTTACAGTAGGATCCCCGAGAGTGAAACAGAAAGTACAGCATCTGCGCCAAATTCTCCAAGAACACCGCTAACACCTCCTCCTGCTTCCGGAGCTTCTAGTACCACAGATGTGTGCAGTGTGTTTGATTCAGATCATTCAAGCCCTTTTCACTCAAGTAGGTGCTAAAATTTTAAGTGTTTTAAAGCAGTTGTCAGTACTACCCATGCTTGAGGTAAAAAAAAAAAAAAAAAAAAAAAAAAAAAAAAAAAGTGGGATCTTTCATGTGTGTGTAAACTTGTATACAAGTCAGATACCATCTCAAAAGATATCATTATAAAAATAAATTCCAAACTTCAGCAACTTATATATTTTTAAAATCCACTGGAATAGTCCTCTTTAAAGTTATTAGATATTACTGTAAAGGTCTGATTGTAAAATTGATAAACTTCATTTGAGTGTTCCAAATACATTTCTCATATCAAGAGGAAACAAAGATCACTTTTAGAAATCTGCAAGGGATGTCAGTCTTGTGTTCGCAGTGCTGTTATACTATTCAATATATATCATTCCTTCCCCACCAGATTCTGTGGTAGCTTCTTATTTTACAGTGAATTAAATTCAACCTTTTTTTTTTGGTACCAGGGATTGAACTCAGGACCTTGCTCTTGCCAGGCAGGCACTTAGGCCGCTGAGCTATCTTCCCCAGTCCCTAATTCAGACTGCTATTTAACTTTCGTTTTCATCACAGCCATACACATCTCACAGACTGCATATGCAAAGGTGTATCTCTCTCTTACTTCAGCACTACTGTCCCAACAGAAATATAATGAGGGCTGTGTAAAACTCTGAATGTTTAGTAGCCACATTAATGAAAAGCAAAAATTAATAAGTGAAATTAATTTTAATAATGTATTTTATTCAACCCAGAATATAAAAATGGTCATTTCAACACGAAATCAGCATAAAATTTATTATTGAGGTATTTTACATTCTACTTTTTGCTCCAAATCTTTAAAATCCAGTGTGCATTTTATATGTATAGTACATGTGAATTCGGACAAGCCATAGTCAGATGTTCAGTAACCGCATGCATCTGCCAGCTGCTCAGCCCATCATAAATAGACCTTGTGTCAGTCACAATTAATTTTCTCATCTGTCTCATGTGCAAATTTAAAACTTTTCTAAGAACACATCACTTTCTTTTATTATTAAATTAAAATTTGACTATAAATCTTTATCCCTGCCGGGAATGTTTCCACATGCTCTTCCTGTTGGCTATCTTAGCACAGTGTGCTCATTAAGTTCCAGTCTAGTCTGGACTGACAGAATCCCATTTTGGAAGCAGCATGGCATGATCAGGAGACAGAGTAAGAAGCACTGACCTCTCCATTAGGAACCCTGGTCTGGCACCTCAGCCTACAAGGAAGCCTCCTTTGCCCTTCAGGGACCAAACTAGATTTTTAAATTTTTTTCCCAATTCAGAGACTCTTAACAGAAAATCTACTTTAAATAATTCTTTGGAAGTATATTATTTTTGAGATTTGTTAAATCTTTGGAGGTTGTTTTGAGATTTGGTCCATAATCCTATTTATTTCTGCAATATACGTACATTTGTAGTTATACAGCAGTCTGTCTTTGTACCATCTAAAGTACATTTATTTTGGCTTTATTTGATGGCTACGGATCATGGAATTATATATGTAATAAATTGTCATACATATTTTAATAAGTTCAAATAAACACTAGGTTTCTTTAGAAACCTTTTCATTCTCAACAGCCCCCTAAATTAAGACTATTAAAACACTTTTTTAGTATACCTTTCCTAAACTCATTATTGGTTGGATCCATTTAACTCTCTTTTTTAATCATTTATTCATTCATTCGATACAGGGTCCTGTGCAGCTCAGGCTTGTAGTGATCCTCCTGTCTCAGCCTCTCCAGCACTAGGTTACAGGTATGTGCCAGCCATCACACCCAGTTTTGGTGGCTGGCACAGCATGCCTAGGGTTCTGGGGCTGGCATGGCATGTGGTACTGGGGATCAAACTCGGGTCCTTGTGCTTGCCAGGTAGGTGCACGGATCACCAAACTATCTCCACAGCCCCCACTTAGCTCCTTGCAGGAGTTTTTTCCCTGCAGCAGACAGCTGTAAGACCCCATAATTGAGCCCCAAATAAGTGAAGTACTGAAAGCTCTCATTTGTAAATTCTGCTTCTCTTCATTTAAGTCACCAAAAGTTTTCTCTTATTTGTCCCTATTACCACTTTTTCCTCTTAGCAAAAACCGAAAAGAACTGATTTTTAATTCAAATAATCCAGTACAATATAAAACCATCTGTGTGCTCAATTAATCCCTTACTTACAACCTACATTAGCTTATGTATATTAAAAATACCTCCTTTGACTCAGCTTTTCTTTAAAAGCTCCTGTTGCTATAGGGCTTGTCAGAGCCTCCAACTTGCTACCTACTGTGTTGCCTCTAGACTGAATTCCTGCTTCCTGTTTCTATCAATAGCTAGCAGGAAAGAGATATACACATTTCACTCAATACAAAGCTGCAGAAAATCCCATTGCTCAGGCTGCAAGAGATAGCTCAGTGGCATAAGCACCTGCCTGGCAAATGCAAGGTCCCAAGTTTGATCCTTGGTACCGCATGCCATTCCAGCCCCAGAGCCCTGGGTGCACCATGCCAGTCCTGCAGTCAGGCATGGTGGTGCATGCCTGTAATCCCAGCACTAGGGAGGCTGAGACAGGAGGATCACTACAAATTTGAGAAACAAACAAATGAGAAATCCCATTGCTCACATTTGCAAAAGAAGTCAAAAGGCAAAGTTTGAGTACGTCCTTTAAATGTTCCAATGCTAGTCTTTTTTTAATAGTTCTGCTTCCCCCAAATAGTCTACCTTTGAGCTTACAGTTCTTTCTGGTATATCATATCTCTTGCTAAGCACTTTTCTGGGAAAGCTTGCAGTTTTACTGATATGAAAAATAATGATGGTTCAAGGAAAGTTACAGTTAAATGTCCAGTGAGTCATGAAAACATTAAATAATATAGAAGTCTACAAAAAGATGGCCTCAGAGTGAGCAAAAATGGTCACTGAAAGCGTTTGTGATAAAGACAAAGAAGAAAGGGCAACAGCAGCCCTCTCAGTGCCATGCGTCAGCATTCAAAGCCCTGGTCTGGTCCATCTGTGAGGTTGACAGTGGCAGGGAAAAGAGAAAAAGACCCTTTTTTTTACAGCTTTGTTTCTGCTGCTGTAAGGAAGGGAACATGATGAAATGCTCTATTACCTTTCTGTGTGAAGATATCCTGATGCTAAAAGGAAGCCTGGTCCCTGTTAGAGAGGAGCTGCACCGTGTACCTTAGTGCAGCCCACCTCGCAGGCACAAGGTATATTGTAGACATTCAAGCAGGAATGTGAGGTCCTTCGTGGAAGAGAGATGCAGACAACAAGTTTGTAATCTCAGATACCTGTATTGGAATTTTGTGAGTTTAAGAAGTTATCTGTCATTTATATCCTTTATTTTCCTGCAGAAAAAAACTTCTTTTTGAAAAATTATTTCTGTATAAACTGAGGAGTAGCTGCAATAGTGGTTTCGAATTGACCACATAGTAAAGTACCCTAAGGAGTTTTAAAAAGATGCCCTGGCTCACTGTCTTTAGCCACTGGACATCAGTATTTTGAAAACATTTTCCAGGGGAAGCAGAATGTGGTGGTGCATGCCTGTAACTGCCACTCTCAGGTGGCAGAAACAGGACGCTAACCTGGAAAATATAGCAGATTCAAGGCCATTCTGGACTAACACAGCAAGACCCTGTCTCAAAACAAAACAAAACAATTTTTTTCCCCAAGTCTAATGTGCAGTCAATATTGAGAACCACTGATCTGTTATCTAGAATTTACTTAACAAATGATACTACTACACTATATTTTTTTAATAAATTGGATTTAATTAGCAAGTCATCATCAGTCCGTTTTTTCAGTTTCCTCTGATAAGAATTTCTTAGCTGGGCCTGGCGGCACATGTCTGTAGTCCCAGTACTCCAGAGGCTGAGGCAGAAGGGTTGCTGTGAATCAGAGGCCAGTCTGGACTACATAGCAGGTTCAAGGCCAGCTTGAGGAACAGAGCAACACCCTGTCTCAAGGGGGGGAAAAAGAATAACTTCTGGCTTTTTTTATTTTTAGCCAGGGTCTTGCTGTATAGTCCAGGTTGGCCACAAACTTGGAACCAGTCCTTCTGCCTGTGCCTCTGCCTCCCACAAGTCCTAGTTCTTTAGGCATGGCCTATCACACCCGCATCTGGCATATATTTTTTGACTAGAACATACACATTTTTTTCCAGTACTGGATATTCAATGTGGGGTATTCACACCCAGCAACACTCCCAGCCTTTTTAATTTCCTACGTTGAGATAAGTCTGAACTATTTGAGGCAGTACTAAACTGCACATGTTGCTAAATTCCCAGGTGGGTTCAAGCCTGTTGTTCTTCCTGCTTAAGCTTCCCAGAGCGGTGTGATGACAGGCAGCCACTGTAACACCTCACTTAAAAGAACTTCTTAAACCACTTTGCAGTCAGCAAGATCAAGCAATTAAAAAATCAGGGAACTGCCTCAAATTTGTCACAACCATCTATCAAAGCCAAGTTTACATCTGTATGTACAAACGTGTGTGCGTGTGAATAACTGTTTCAGCACCTCTGCAATTTGAGGCCGTGAGGAGCTTCATGCTTTTATCTGTAGTTGTACTAAGTATACCTGCATGTCCCTCAGGCTTATCTCCAGGCACTACATGTATGTCCTACTTAAAGTAAGAACTGTGCTAAGTGGGTACACCCTAGAGCTGCCCGATGACGTGGGTAGAAAGTGCACCTCATCATCTAACAAGATGTGCTGCCATAAGCGGCCTTGCCACACTTCATCTTGGGGCTCAGGGAAGCCAGTACATACGGAAAGCAGAGTCTGCAACAGACTCAGGGCGCCTGAGCAATCTGAGGGACTATATCATTGGAGGCACTCAAGTTAACAGGTGTCATCAAATAACTGAACCTGGAATGCAAATGATCTTCCTCTGACCAAATAAGCTGGAATAAACGTGTTCCAAATTATTTGAGTCACTGTCTATTATGCAAAAATGTGAGAAAAATGAAAATTTAGGGGCCAGCGAGATGCTCGACAGTCTAAATGCCTGCCTGGCCCACGCCTTTAAGGACCCAGGTTCCTTCCCAGTACTGCATGCCAGGCTGCCCCTGGAACAGCGGCACGCAAGACCTTGTACCTCAGTAAACAAAGAAATGATTTTTTTTTTTTTTTTTTTTTTTGCGGAACCGGGGATTGAACTCAGGCCCTTGCGCTTGCCAGGGAAGGGCTTATTCCACTGAGCCACTTCCCTGGCCCTAAATAAATGAATTTTAAAAATTAAGTTTTTTTAAATGCAAAATTTTCATAATCACCTAAGTCGAGCATTATAGGAATTAATTAATCTCTCATGCATTGTCCATTCCATGTGTTGGTAGTTTGAAGCACTGTAACATAAATAGCTATACTGTTTTCCAACCAGTATAGGGCACGTAGTTCCGCATTGATGCTTTTGGCACTTTGGCTTATGAGTTTCCTTTTTTTTTTTTTTTTTTAAAGATTTAGTACTGTTAAAGGTAGACATTTGAAATTTATCAGGAAACTTCATATATATATAAAATGTCTAAGCATTAAATGGGTATTGATCTTTTTTAAAATGTGTAGTAGTAGACAGAAAAGGCTGTTTCACTTTTAAGTTTTAGTGTCCAAAGTTATAGTTATTTTGTAATTAGAATATATTCTCAAGAATGTTCTTTTACAGCTATATATTACTATTAGTAAAAAACTCCCCTTTATTTTTCAAAGCATATAAAAACATTGTTCCACTAGTTTGAATTTTCAAAATAATCTTTAGTAAATGATATATTTCTGTGCATCTAGTTAAATTCTTCACTTGAATTGTAGAAATCTTCCAATAATACAGGATAGTTTCATATTCTCATTAATATTTTTCATTTAATTATGATGGCATCCAAAGTAAATCTAAAAGGAATCTTCAAAATTCCCAGTCTGACATTAACTCAATTATTCTTCTCAAAAGTAAGTAGTAATGAGCTTTTGCTAAAACTATTACAGCATCCTTTAAAACTAAAGTAACAATAACATTTTCATTATAAATTTTTACAGATGAGTTGAATATACATATTATATATACATACATATATATATATATATATATATATATATGTATAAAATCTACTTTTTCTTGTTTCCTTTTACAGGCAGCGATACCGTCTTTATCCAAGTTACACTGCCCCATGGCCCAAGTTAGTATATTTGGATTAAGACTCATAATTTTCGCTTTGGCTTTAAAAATCAAACAAAATGTGACCTTTCCTGCTAAAATTCTCCTTGGGTCTGGCAGCCTTGGTACCTGCTTGCACCATCTTAGAAGTGAGGCCTTCACTTGTGCTATCCTTTGATCATAACTGATTTGCTTAATTTTTATATACTTTTCATGCTTTTTGTCAAACCTTTTTTCTCATTTAAAAGAACATAGTAAATGGGTGGCTTCCACATTTAACCATTTCTCTTTTCCAACTGTGGAATTCTAAATGTATGTTAGTGCTCATCTTTGAAAACAGAAGCAAGAGCATGCATGCGCATATGGCAGTGCTGGCAACTACACGCAGTGTCTGAATCACAAAGCATACTGTGCCTGTGACAGCACAGACTGTAGGCAGATAACTACTTTGGGTTTTTTTGGTTTTGGGTTTGGGTTTTTTGGCAGAACTGGGGATTGAACTCAGGCCCTTGCACTTGCCAGGGAAGCACTTATTCTACTGAGCCATCTCCCCGGACCCTCAAATAACTACTTTGGACTTTAGAAGGATTATCTTTTATCATTATAACTATTTAAATTACAAGGAGTAAATATTTATCCCAGATAAACAAAATTCTGTTGAAGCCATTTTGCTTTTAGTTTTAAAGTTCCAGTTCGCTAAATCCCATTTTAATTATTTTAAGCTAATAAATTAACATTTTACTGTCTTTTTATGCAAATGATTTTTTAATTTTATCCTGAAAATGATTTTAAAATGTGTATGATAAAGATATTAGTTATAAGCTAAATTAACTGTATGTAAACTAAGTTAGTACATACATTCTTTAAGTTCTATATTGCTGTAACATTCAGTTGACAAAACTTAATGTCTAAAGGAATAAAAAAGAACTTGCCAAGTATAATTTCGAGGGATTATTTCTATAAGTACTTTCATGTATTTTACAGTGTTTATAAAGTAGTTAATAACTTAAATTTGTGCTGTCTACGCTTTTCAACTGTGGTCTGTAAGACAGGTTCCACTTAGAAGCTTTACTTTCTTTTTTTTTTTTTTTTTCAGCTCACCAACTTATTCCTCAGTCAGGGTCACTAGATTTTTAGTATACCTATAATTCCTGTTTTCATTATCATGACTGCCCCAGTCATCTTGAATAGCTCCACTACAGTTAGTTTATAGATTAGATCTGATGAGCCTGACTCTCTTTACATGCTCAGGAGTGCCTCTGTCCAAGCAGAGCAAGGACAAGGCACCCTCTGGGCCCTGGACTCTCTCCCCTGCATCCTTTAGGAGAATTGCTAGGGGAGACACTGGAGAACACTTAAGATGGGGCAGCTCCCGAGTACTACCCAGTTAAGAGCAGGGAGATTCTAATTGGAAAAAATGAGGCCATCACAAAGCTTGATAAAAATTAATTGCCATTTCAAAAGATGTCTGAGAATCATACACAATTAAAAGTTCTAATAATAGATTAACAATTTATTTTGTTAGAATGTTATTTTGTTCAAGAAACTGATATCTTTGGCAGCTGCTCTCTAAAACTTCTGCTAAGACATTTATGCATGTTTTTATAGCAGTTTGCTTTAATGAAGTACTATTGGGTATTGGTTGTAAAATGCTTTTGATACTTTTACGCATTTCTTTTAATGTATATTAGCAGTTTGTGGCTAAGCCTTTTCAAGATTAATGAGAGAAATAAAATTCCCATAAACTGTTTTGGAATTTAACGCCCTACAGGATCTGCCTCAGTGTCGTCTATAAGTTTAACCAAGGGCACTGATGAAGTGCCCATCCCCCCGCCTGTTCCTCCGCGAAGACGGCCAGAATCTGCCCCGGCTGAATCTTCACCATCTAAGGTAAAGTAGAAAATGCCATCATCTGGAAATCAGAATCATTAGTTGCAGTATAGTCCATTGCTTGTGCCTAATTTATTTCTCACTGTGAGAGTTAACATTGCAGAGTAACTTTACTGAATAGTTTAAACAAAGACTATGGATTTAGCATGCAGAAGGTTTCTTTCTAAAAGTAGTTTTTCCAGTATGCTTGCAAAACTCTTCTAAAACTAAAACTATACATATTGTTAAGAAAGACAAGTTTTGATTTATAAGAGTAATTTAATCTCAATCAGTTCTGTAAAACCATACAGAGGCAGAAGGGGAGGAAAAGAGGACAAAGAGGTCTAAAGTTTTGTGTGAAAAAATCTAAGTGAAACTGTGTCTTTCATATATGCTAAAAGTTGTTTATCTGAGTCTGTAGGGTATCTAGCATGCTTCCTAATGAGGTATTTGTTGTGAAAACTCTAGATTGGAAGAGACCAGACCCTAAAGGGTCATGAATATTTTTTCCATCAGTTTACTTTTTTTTTTCCTTTTTTATTTATTTACTTATTTTGCCAGCTGTTAACTTACTTCATTTGTTCTTATGCTGTCCAAAGAGCAGAACACCTGGATAAGCCAAGACATTTTTTGCATAATTTCATGAAATATATAGTAAAATGAAATTGAAAAATCAATCAGTAATATACACTAAATCAGAAGTTGTATTTCACAATAAGCAAACAACAAAATTTTGAGAAAGGTAAAAATTTCACATTGGCAAAATTAACTTTTTTCTGTGAGTTGGCAATACTGATTATTTAAAATATATGGCAAAACTCTGTTCCACACAGTGTTCTGCCAACAGCATGTTTGAAAACCCCAAATTCTTAATATATTCATGGTAGTACATGAATTCAGTTATTAATAAGTATGTTGTACTCTTTTCTCATTTGTTAGATTATGTCTAAGCACCTGGACAGCCCCCCAGCCATTCCTCCTAGGCAACCCACATCAAAAGCGTATTCACCACGATACTCAATAGCAGATCGGACCTCTATATCAGACCCTCCTGAGAGCCCCCCTTTACTACCACCACGAGAACCTGTGAGGACACCTGATGTTTTCTCAAGCTCACCACTACATCTCCAGCCTCCCCCTTTGGGCAAAAAGAGTGACCATGGCAATGCTTTTTTCCCAAACAGCCCTTCCCCCTTTACACCACCTCCTCCTCAAACCCCTTCTCCTCATGGCACAAGAAGGCATCTGCCGTCACCACCATTGACACAAGAAGTGGACCTCCATTCCATTGCTGGGCCGCCTGTTCCTCCACGACAAAGCACTTCTCAACATATCCCCAAACTCCCTCCAAAAACTTACAAAAGGGAGCATACACACCCATCCATGCACAGAGATGGACCACCCCTGTTGGAGAACGCCCATTCTTCCTGAGTTCCTCTATCCTGGGATGTACAGTTTCCTTCCCCCCAATCCATTGCTGGCAATGGATGCACTGAGCGTGCCAGCACTGAGGAGTTAGAACTAGAGCTCCAAACACTAATGACTCTACTTCAAGATGCAGTATAAGACAATGAATTTTAACGTAGACATTAATTATAAATTGAAATGGTATTCCAGTGTAGAATATGTAGAAAGACTGATCTAGAAGAATTGGCAACTGATTGCATCTGAAAATCAACTGAAGGGACTTTTTCTGGCCAATGTGCAAGAACCCTCATTTGTGAAGTGATCTTTCTTGCTGAAGGGATGGAAGCAGTCTAGTGTCCAGCAGGCCCACATGACGACAGTTTTTGTAATTCAAAACATTATGCACTTTTTAAAAAAATCTTAAACAGGGATCTTCCTATCCTCCTCTGTTTTCCTTTGCTTTACTCTTCTACTTTAGAATATTTTCTTAAAAATCATTCAAAGGACTGTGAGGAAAGGCTGTGGTACCTGACCTTGTCAAAATCAAGGCCCCAGCACTGTACTACAGTCCTGTTTACAGATTACTACAGTGAATTGAATGGGTACCAAGGCTTCACCAAAGAGGTACTTTTTTGTTGTCGTTGTCGTCGTTGTTTTAAGACTAATTATGCCAATATTGAGAACATTTCCCTACCTGTCCCCCACACACAAACAAAACAAAATGTGGTGTTGCCTTCAAAAAAGATAAGTTTTGTGTCATTAACATAATGGAAGAACTTTTTAAAAAAGTTTAACTGTCAAGTGTACTATATACATTTAGGAGACTGTTACTCTACGCTAGATTGTCATATCCCCTCCTCCCACAAAGGTGTACTGGTAATCCGTGTCCTGGCTCACAGCTGTCCCTCTAATGACATTACGGAGATGTAGGCACCCAATGTGAAAAGGAGCATTCGCTGGGCATCACTGACACCATTTGTGTTTTACTAATAATCAAGTACTCAGCATACCTAGAATTACCGTGCATTGCCTAAATCATGTGTATATAGTGAATGTTATGTGATGTACCTAGCAGGTCTGTTTTAATTTAATTAAATAAAGATACAAATACTTTGGCTGGCTGGCATATATTAAATTATTATATGAAGAAAATTGTTGGTTCTTATTTCTTTCAGTTGAAACACACAAACCCTAACCATAAAAGCACGTATTGTGGTACGCTTTAATCTTAAGGACCTAAAGCTTCAGTTTGGCATGTACGAAAATATTTGGTTAAAGGACAATGGGTATCTTTCAAGCAGAACTGTAGGTTTTGTAATTTCTTGAGCAACATGTATGCAATTTGTTAAGGTTTATATTGAAAATTCTACCTTGCTTGAGGTCTTTTGCTCTGTCACAACTACCTACATCATTACTAGAATATGGATTACTCCTAAAGCCTGTGTACTGCTCTCCTGAGTCTAACACATACTGTGACTGAAGTGCATGTAACTCACTGAAGAGAAATCTGCTTACTGATGTCCGCTGCGACGTCCGTGAGGGTGCAGTGCTCCACCCAGAGGCATGCGCTCATTAGTTACCTGTCTGCATGCGTCCTCCAGATAATGAAGCACCTTTGAGTAATTCTGTTAACCATGTCATTAGACACGTTAGTAGTGCTGCATCATGGTGGAAACGTAATACTTTGATAATTTCTGTGATATTAAAGTATAAAATATACATCACAATAGTACAGTATATAGTCCTTTAAGAACAGCAGGTATGTTAACTATACCATCATTAAGCAGTCTGCTGTTACATCCTTTGTTAGAATAGTCTTTTAATGCCCATACCATTCCTACTATGATAAGCATCTTTCCTTCATAAAGTGTCCCCTCTTCTGAAAATATTCTTAAAAATTAACTGCAGGTCCCTTCTTGGTTGCGAAGTGTCCATAAGACTATTTATTTTAACAAGTATTTATGTAAAACCTACTAATGCTGCTACAATTAATTGATATACATTCCAAAATCCCCCCCGACCCTTTATTGGGCCAGCCTAATTTTCCTAATGATTTCCCCTTTTATGGCTTATTAACCATTCTTTAATTGTCCCATCCCCACTCCAAGTAAGAATCTGACTAAAGCCCGTTCATTCGGTCTCTGGCTAATTAGTGCTGGCCTTCAGTAGGTGATGACCCCTTCAAACCTGCTTGATCCTACACAAAGGAAAGACTCCGCTTTGGAGCTGCCATCTTTCTCCTAGAAAGGACCTTTCTCCTACCCAGTGCTTCGCGTAGACCACTTCACTGTGCAGCAGTTTGGGGGTTCATTTTTTTGTTTTGTTTGAGACAGGGTCTGCTATGTAGTTCACACTGGCCTTGAGTTCACTGTATGACCCAGGCTGGCCTCCAATTCATGGCGATTCTCCTGCCTGTTTCCAAAGTGCTGGGATTTATGGGCACATGCCACCACATCTGGCTGTTCAATTGTTTTATATGTATTGTGGATAGAGAGGACATTTTTATTCTGAAGTGTGATATGTGAGCAAAAATGTATATGATAAAAATTCCAGTTAGATGCCTTTAGATGGAAGAAAACTACCCTCATGGTTAATCTGTCTCAACACACAGATTTATCATTAGTAACTGAACTATACCTAGTAAGGGACAAGAAGTGAAAGTAATATAATGAATTCTGCCCTGGCATCCAGGACATGAGGAGACAGTATAGCATGACTTTTTGTCAGCCACTTTCTAAAATGTGGAATATTTCTTTAAGAAGTAGAAAAATTCCTAAATGTCTCATTATCTTTGGATCACAGAATAAAAAAAAAAAAAAAATTCCAGGCTGAATCTGGTGGGCTCATAACCAATATAACAATGTAAGCGTTTCACATCTAAACACTTCTAAAAACAGGACAGATAAGTGTGTCTAAATTATTGGCAAACCAAGATTATTTACTCTTCCTAATTCTCAAATCTATTTGAATACGACTATGATCACAGCTGGGCATGGTAGTGCATGCCTGTAATCCCAACACTTGGGAGACTGAGGCAGGAGGATTGCCACAAGTTGAAGTTCAGGGGCAGCTTGGACTATACGCAAAACTCTGTCTCAAAAATACTACTAAGATCAGGAAATATATGAACAACAGAAGATCATTTAATTTTAAAAGTTTGCTTAATTTAAGGTTATTGAGCATCAAACTACGTATTCATTGTACTACTATTCTCATAACTCAAGGGATGTATTACTAGATCCGAGTTAAAAAGACAGCCGGCCATACTAACACAGTCATAATCAAGAGAACAGTCTACTAAACAAATACTGTTTCAGCTGGAGGGTACCTTATGGTTCTAAGTTCTTCCTCAATGTTTCTTTTAATAAGCAAAATTACTTGATACCAAAAATTACATGGTATTTATGATAATGAATTTGTACTTCTCAACAGTTTAGCCTATTTCAATCTTTTATTTCATTGTCTTTATATGACGGCTTAAGTTCATATGTTTAGTAGCTCAGCAAAACAAATGTGAGAGTTATCCTAATTAGTATTGTAAATATTGAGGGAAATCTTTTTCTCCTTTAGATTCAAAACCAATTTAACCACTTATTTCTTGGCATTCAGCTGCTGTGGGTTTACTTCTTCTTTTTGGCCTATATTGTGTGACTTGTACAAGTGTAGGTCCTGCAGTATTGCTAGCAAATATGTACCACAAAGTATCAGTTTGGCTGAAAAAGAATTAGGCAGTAAAATTATTTATAAGGGAAAGTCATGACTTTATTCAATTTTCTTTTGAAACATCTTGTTACTAACTTTTAAAATTGTTTCATAATTCCTTATACATGAGCCAAAAATATTCTGAGCTCCAGTTAAGAAAAGCATGAAGTCTATATGATAAATCTAAACAAAAGCACTTGTAACTTCTTTTCATGCCTTATTTTCCATTTTTGACACCGTAAAGTGCATTTTCTGTCAACTGTGAGAAAACTTCCCTTTTGCCTTTAATGAAAGTAGTGCATTAAATAGCCAGTTGCTGCAAAATTACAAAGCAAGTTAGCTAACGGTGGGTCACACTGGACTACCACGCGCAATCAAGATCCATGAAAAGATGGAAATTAATGTGGCGTGGCTTAGAGAATGCACCTGTGCCAGATGCATGCCACTTTCAGTAGCTGCCAAATGTGCCTTTAATTAAGAACATCTCTAATTTTTTTCTTCAGATCAAGTCAGCATTTGGGGGTGGGATTAGGGCAGGGAATTTGGGATGCAAATATCTGGTGAAACTGCCAGAGAATTTGTTTGTCAAAGTGACATGTATAATTTTAGTTAAGATGTGTCTGTGTATATATGTGTATCTGCCTTTGTTTAGTAGCACAGTCATTTGCTAAAATTATTGTCAAAAAATATGCTGTCAGTCTTACTTTGATGTAAGAACAAAGTGTGGTCTATACATCTGCTATGGCCTTTGTACCTAACCGTGTCCTTAGGTGATCTTTGTACTACGTGTGCAGCAGTATTTGGTTTGCGTTTCAAGTGAAAATAATGGCTGTTATTTTTCTGGCATTACTAAGATAAACAAAAAATAAAGAAAAAATGCCTTACATAGCCCACAAGTGTATTATTTTTGCATGTATTTATTTGAGAGGGCAGCATTTTTAAAGTCATTAGTCATAGAAATAGGAAAATATTTTGCATTTTATCATGATCTTCCTTTGGGGGCACTTTTTCCCAAAACAAGCTATTATAACAGGATTTTAAAGTTTCCTATTACCATCTGTGTCAAACCCTCTGACTAGTGAGTGGCAGGGGTGCACCCAGAGCCAGCCAGAGTGCTGAGGCGGCTGTATCCAGAGACGTTTCAGACATCACAGTTGTCTGGATTTGGCAGGTTTTGCTGCTGCTGGAGTAAGCCAGCTTGATTTTGTAATCTTTCTAGATTTGGCTTGTATATGAAGTTTTAGGTTGTATGTAAATTACTAAGCTCACTCAAGGTAGATTATATAATGTAAACACCAATGACTCCTTCGAGAACCAATCTGCCTAAAAACAGGCAAATGAGGCCTGCAGAGGTGGCCTGACGGAGCACATTGTGGGAAGTTAGCCTCTGAGACCCGAGCCGGTGTTGGTCCCTGGGTGGGAGGACCACTTTCAGGAGCACCTGAGAACTGGGGGCTCTCCTCCTGGTTTAAGGGCATAAAGTCATTCATTTATACAGATTCATCTGATTAACCACTGTGAAGTCAAACATGCACAGTCATACTCTAGTCCATTTAACAGCCATAGGCAAATAATGCTAACACTGATTATTAGTCAAACTTGACTCTACATTTCCTTTTGAAATGCTACTTCGATTTTTAACCAGGTATTTGTTTTCTATTTTAATCGTGTCAGGTCATCAGTTTGAGAGCAGGAATAGGAAGGCCTGCCTTGCTGCAGATGTGATAAGAGTACAGTTCCAAGCAGCAGCTTCTTCGGCATTTTAGGACCCTGACTCTTGATTCTTACTAGAAGCAAGAAGAACCACACACTGTTAAGAATCTAGTAGGTGATCTTAGGTAATGTGCATTTGATAAGGACCAACTTGACTGTTCAGCGGTCAACAAACCCTTATTGTTCCAGGTCAGTTCTGATGTTAGGAATCTCCAGCAGTGAAGAAAAATCCCTATCATGGGATTTATCATTTAGTGACACAATGTAGACAGTCATGATAATTAATAGGTCTATTACATATTAGCATATTGTAATTGTTAAGAACAAAAGATAAGGTTGTTGAGAATATAGGACAAAAAGGAGATAAAATTTAAATGGAAAGTCAGAGTCTCTCATAGAGAAGGTGGGACCTAAAGACCCGAAGAATGAAACATGGAGGTATTTAAGAACTGCCGATCACAGGGAGCAGCCAATCCAAAAGCCTGGAGGAAAGAACACTTTTAGTGTATTTATGGATTGGCAAGGCTACTTGAGTTAGGAAAAAAATGAATGTGAGGAGCCTTGAAAGAGGTGCCATCAAAGTTTAATTTACAGTCTTGATACTGTGTTGAGAAAACTGAGATTAAGAACAGGAATACTGAAGAAAAAAAAAAAAAAAAAAAAAACAGGAATACTGCCAGACATAGTGGTACACAGCACT